TTTGCTACCAGAAATACTGTTTCTAGAGAGCTGGAATAGTGGCATTGAAAGCTGATCCTCCACCTGCAGCATTGGCATCCCACTTGGACACCATTTCAAGCCTCAGCTGCTCCACTTCTGATCCAGCTCCAAGCTTATAGCCCGGGGAAGCAGTAGAGAACGGCTCAACTTCTTGGGACCTTGGAAAATCCAGAAGAAGCTCAAGGATTTGGATCAACTCACCTGTGGCCGTGGCAGTCATCTGGGGAGTAAACCAATGTATGGAAGATCTCTCTCTCTCAACTCTTTCAAGTAAAATAAATAAATGTTTAAAAGATACTCTTTCTAGGTGTGTGTGTTTTTGCACACTTGAAACACCTGCATTCCATTATAGAGGACTTGGTTCCTTTGCTTTTAATCCAACCTCTCATTAATGCACACCCTAGGAGGCAGCAGGTGTTGGCACAAGTCCTTGGATCCCTAACATCCACATGAGAGACTCAGATGGAGTTCTGGAGTCTTGGCATTGGCCTGGCTCAACCCTGGCTGTTGTGTTTGGGACAGTGATCCAAGGGATAAGAGATCTTTGTCTATCTCCCTTTCAGTATTTATCAAATACATAATTGTCTTTAATAAAACAAAAAATACATTTCTAAAAGGGGTAGGATTTTGGTGTGTTTGTTTAATGAGCATCGTCAAAGGCTTTGGTATTTGTGGACCAATGGCCGCCTCAGTCTCCTTTCTTTCTGGTGTCCTTTGTTCACATGGGTAATTCCAAGGGAATAGGCTAATTTTTTTTCCTAAAAGATTTATTTTTATTGGAAATTCAGATATTCAAAGAGGAGGAGAGACAGAGAGGAAGATCTTCTGTCTGTTGATTCACTCCCCAAGTGGCCCCAATGGCTGGAGCTGAGCCAGGAGTTTCTTCTGAGTCTCCTGCACGGGTGCAGGATCCCAAGGTTTTGGGCCATCCTCAACTGCTTTCTCAGGCCACAGGGATGGGAAGCAGGGCCTCCAGGATTAGAACTGGCGCTCATATGGGATCCTGGTGTGTGCAAGATGAAGACTTTAGCTGATAGGCTACCATGCTGGACCTGAACACGCTGATTGTGTAAGGTGATTTTACCCTACTCCTGCCCCCAGGTCAAGGAGATGTTCCTTTTTCTTTTTCTTTCTTTCTTTCTTTCTTTTTTTTAACCCCTCGAAGGTTGCCACTGCCTTACTGGGCAGCAAGATGTGGTACAGTTGAGTCCAATGGCAAAATTCACGCGTGTGAAGTCAGATTAGCTTCAAAACTGAATGCTCTGTGTTCATCTCGTGTACCGTGTGACTAGAAACAAATCTGCTAACCTTTCTGCTTGGAGTTCTTTATTAGTTAAGTAGCAAGCCATTATTGAGTTCCCTTGGAAGTTATGCAAATTAATTAATGTTTGGAAAATGACTTGAAAATTTAAATCAGTCTATAAATACCAAAGAGTAGCATTTACCCTGCTGAGAGGGCCCAGGTAATTTACAACCTCCTATAACAAAGGTAAAAATAGTGTGCTGGGGCTATACAATTAAATGTGATTTATGTGCAGTGCACACAATCTTTAAAATCTAGAAACCATTTAATAGAAACAATTCATATTTCATAACTATAATAAAAGCATTTTATGACTATAGGAAAAGTAATTTTCTACTGGAACTGATCTAGATAGTGTATCTTTAAGCATTTCTGAAGTCAGCAAAAGAATGTACTTTGAGTTCTTCTTTAACCTGTTTATATTGACTGATATGTATCTTTAAATTATCCCAGGTTTTTTTTTTTTAACCTTCAAAACTCTAATGTTTATTTCCTGGAAAATTTGGCTGTACAAAACTTTGCTGTATTCAAAACCTCCTGTGTCAAGATTTAACACTTTTATATAGTAGTCATTAAAATTGAACAAAATCTTAATGGTTCCTTTATGAACTACTCAACTGACTTTGCACGGTGAAAATCACAATGTGTTAATTGGATTTAATTAACTATTTTAAATTACATAAAATTCTGACAGTAGACAATACCAGGCAGCACTTCTGAGCAATAAAATTGGAGCTGATATTGCTACTTTATTAAAACTTAATGAAACTATTCATAATCTTATTTATCGTTTACAAGGAGGAAACTGTGTTCATTGTGAAAGCAAAAAAAAAAATGCTGAAAATGAATGCTTTTTCACTCAGGTGCAGGTTCAGAAGTTAATGAAGGGGTCCACCATCTCCAGCCTCACGGTCCTGCCCTCCTCTCACCGTGTGGATCCGTACTTTATCCCTGTGCCAGTCTTACAGAAGGATGCCAGTAAAGGTTCGTGGGTCAGGAGCTCTGTAACATGTTTAGGCATGGAAAGAAAAGAACACTGTGGTGGTGGGGTTATGGGGGTTGAACTGACCTTGAACTCTAGACCAGTCACTATGACTCCTGACTACCTCAGACAAGTCAGGTGCTCCCACTGGCCTCAGTTTCCACCTCGAGACCTCAGACGGTTCTACCACAGGATCCCGGGAGTCCATCCCACACCTGGAAGTCCAATGAATTGAGACTGATCTCAGCATGGGTGTTGTGTCATAGAGTTATTATTATGTTTATATGGTATTATTAGAATGTGTTACATTTTAAGCAGATGTTTCTGGTGTTATTTGAATGGCATTTAAAACATTTTTTTGAGACAGGCATTTGGTGGAGCTGTTAAGTGAATATGCCTTCTGGGACACCTATGTTTCATATCAGAGCACCTGGTTCAAATTCCAGTGCCTCCACTTCCAACCCAGCATACTATTACCGTGCATCTTTGCAGGGGTGAGGGAGAGTTGGTGATGGCTCAAGTACTTGGGTCCTTAGCATCCACGTGGGAGACACACATGGAGTTCTGAACTCCTGGCTTTGGCCCAACCTAGCATTGGCTGTTGTGGAACATTTGGGGAATCAACAAATGGAAGCTCTCTCTCTCAATAAATAAATAGAAGTTAAAATTTACTTTATTTTACTATTATGCAGAATTAGGAAGCTAGAATGAATACAATTGGCATTTATACTGTACATATCTTGATTTAAATTTTAGCCTTATAGAAACAATCAACTTCTAGTTTTTAAGCAAAAGGTCAAATTATTTTTATCTCAGTATCAACCATGCCTCAAACCAAATCCATCATTTTGTAGATGTTTATTGTGGTTTGAATGAATAACCAAATTAAGGAATAGGGAAACACATGACTAAGGACCGAACATCATTAAGTGCAATCCTCTTTACTTTTCCTCACTACCTAATTTTCTTATAATCTTGATCAAAATAACTCTTTTGATCAAAATAACTGCCCTCACCTCAAATTATTCGCATTATAAGACTGGTCTCATTGGGTTTGGTGTGACTATTCACTTACATTGCTGCTGCAGGAATGTTAAATTCACCATATAATTCACCACCATAGGTTTGTTTTGCTAGATGTTTTCACAAGGATCTCAGATTCAACTTTTAAAATCCTCTGTAAGTAACAACGTTGCCCTCACAAGTTTGGATAAGCCTAGAATGGGGCCTAGGAATCTGTACTTTTAATAAGAAAATCTTCCCCAAAATGCTGTTTGTCAAAGGTAGCCTGGAGATTAACCCTCCAGTGGTCTTCAGTCTTCCATCTAAGCACAAACCAGGCCACCCTGCTTAGCTTCTGAGATCAGCCATGTTCAAGATGCTATGACTGTACACTGGGGTTCTCACCAGACTCATCTCCTCCATAGCAATGTAAGCTTGTCTTGGCAAATGGAAGGAACATGTCCTTCCTAGAATGTGCACCGATAACTTCAGCTTAGTCCAGTTTAGTTCCTAGTTTGTATACTAGGATTTTGTTGACATTCAGAATTCTAGTATGTGAGGAAACCACCGGAAACAGAAGCCCCACTGCAACTTTATTGTAAATAGTGTTGACGTTTGGGAATTTTTGGCTGATCTTTGTTATTATTTTTAAAAGATTTATTTATTTGAAGAGGAGAATGACAGAGAAGTGACAGAGATGTTTTCCATCTCATGGCTCACTTCCCAAATGGCCACAGTGGTTGGAGCTGGTCCCAGCTAAAGCCAGGAGTCAGTAGCTCCATTCAGGTCTACCACAAAAGCAGGGGCCAGAAGCACTTGGACCATGCTTTGCTGCTTGGCCAAGCACATTAGCAGGATGCTGGATCAGAAGCAGAGCAGCAAGAGCTGGAACTAGCACTCCAACACAGTCTGCAGCAAGGGTGGGCTGCAGCTTAGTGTGCTTGGCAATAACAGCCCCCTGGGTTTTTTAATTTCAAAATAGGAGGTCCACCTTAATGAAAGTTCTGCCCCTAACAGTAGGTTTTGTTCATTCATTTCTTCATTGGTTTACATTTTTAACAATGTCTCTTGTCCTTAAAAAACCTTGGCATGACATGCTGATATACTGTGAGTTCTAAAAACTGAAAATTAATTGCATTCATGCTAACTATGATGCCCCCATTGTACTACAATAACCTATTTCATCATCTGGTGATGTGTGAAATTCCTTATTGTAGGACTGTGTGACAGATGATAAGAACAGGGTATAATTTCAAGCACAAAATTTTCTTTCTTTCGGGACAAAGCATCTCCTGAGTTATTAAGAATATAAGCCTGGTTTCTCTGAATTTAGTAAAAGGGATAACAATATTACCAATGATGGAAAATGTCATAAGGATGTAGAAGTTCCAGTTTGCCTTGAAATTATATTTCTACCTTAAAATGAAATTACCTTCATGCAATTTGAGCTCATATTATGAATATTGGCAATGACACTTTCTTTTCCCCGGGTTAGTAGAATAGGAAGTTTAAATGAACATGCACACCAGCAATCTTTTTCATGCGTAAGATTAAAGTACTTGATGTCCTCTCACGAATAAGACAAGGAGCCAAGTGAGCTATACTTACAAAATGTATAGAGCCTGGTTCTGTGGAACTGCTAACAGTTAAACTCATATTCTGCTAACCTTCTTTTTTCCAGGGATTTTAAGCATGCTGCAACGAGGACTAATTCCACCCACAGCCAAAATCACCTTTCAGAACCCGCCTGTGATGCCCAGAGCGGCCCACCTGCACAATTTTGATGAACCACGTAAGATTCCAGCTGCAGGTAAGGAGAGCACTCTTGCCTGGGAACTTAGTTGAGGACACACAGAAGTGACACCCATCCTCCTGCAAAAACAACAACAACAACACAATCTAGCCTTCTAGCTGCCAACTTCTACTGTCAACTATAGCACAAGCTCAAAATTCAAATTGTGCCAAGATTTATTTTTCTAAATAAGGAACTTTAGTCTCCTTTGCAAAAGGCAAGTGTGTGTGTGTGTGTGTGTTAGAAAGTGGGTATTTTCAATGGGTCAGCAGCTTAATTAGGGAACCAAGACAGAAACACATGGATATGATAAAGAAATATAACAATACAAAGCATCAGAGAATAACAATCCAATGGATGTCAAATTGTAGTTCCATTGGAGTTCTCAGGAATGGCTGCTAAGGTATGAGATGATAGCAGACGGGTTCTAAGAGAAGTAGGATAATATAGGGATACAGAAAAACACCCACCTGGGAATCTGTGGGTTCATTCTAGAACCTCGGGCAAGTTATCGGCTCCTTCTGGGCTTCAGCCTTCCCGGTTATCCGCTGAGGGGTTTGAACTAAATCACTGCATCCGTTCCATGGAGCCTGGGTGAATGCTCGTTTGCTCAAGATTGCATGTAGATGCTGGGATCCAACAGAGAAGACATCAGGTCCCGTTTCTGCTCTGAGAGTATTTACACCCCAGTGGGAGACCCAGAGAAGAAGGTGAAGTCCAATGAGAATGTACATTACTGATTTTTAAAAATGCTAAAAATAAAACAATATGGAATAGACGAGGATAAGGAAGAACTACTTGCTCATGAGGGAAGGGACAGGGAATGTCCCTCGGAGGTGACAAGAGGCTTGAGATGAAGTCCACATGCTAAGGAGTCAAGCAGGCCTGGTGCAACAGCTCCATTGGCTAATCCTCTGCCTTGCAAACACTGGGGTCTCATTTGGGCACTGATTCATGTCCTGGCTGTTTCACTTTCCATTCAGCTCCTTGTTTGTGACCTGGGAGAGCAGTGGAAGATGGCTCAAAACCATAGGACCCTACACCTGCATGAACCCAGAAGAAGCTTCTGGCTCCTGGCTTCAGATCAGCTCGGCTCTGGTCATTATATCCACTTGGGGAGTGAACCAGTGAACAGAAGATGTTTGTATCTCTCCTTCTCTCTGTAAATCTGCCTTTCCAACTAAAAAGAAGGCAGGCAGGCAGGCAGGCAAGAAAGGAAAGGAAAGGAAAAGAAGGGAAAGGAAGGGAAAGGAAAGGAAAGGAAGAAAGAGAAAGAAAGAAGGAAAGAAAAGAAAGAAAAGAAAGAAAGAAAGAAAGAAAGAAAGAAAGAAAGAAAGAAAGAAAGAAAGAAAGAAAGAAAGAAAGAAAGAAAGAAAGAAAGAAAGAAAGAAAGAAAGGTAGGTGTGAGTCAGGCATGGAAAGATCTAGAGAAGAACATTCTGGAACAGAACTGGGACAAGGCTCTGAGGACTGAGCAGGACCTGAGCAAAGAAGCTGAACCATGAGCTGATGGAAGCCCCAGGGAGGAGGGGATCATGTGATACAGGATGGGGCAGAGACTGAATTATCCTCAGTGTTGGTCCCTCCCCACGGCCGCAATGATGGTGTTGTGGTGGACACATGGCACCACATGTGACTATAGACCGCATTTCCCAGGCTCCCTGAGAGCTGGTGGTGCCTTGTGACCAGCTCTTGCGCCCTGAGATCCAAGTAGAAACAAAGAAAGGAAGTTCTGGGATGTTCCCATAAAGAAAGGATCGTGTCCTCTGCTGCCTCCAGTGTATTTCTTCTCATGATTACCTGGAATGCAGATGCAAAGATCTGAGCTGGGCAACCCCTTTGGAACTGGAGATGGAACTCCATGTTAAGCCTGGCACAACTGTCCTGCCAGTGCCGGGCTGTCTTCCTTTGTAGTTTGTGAAACCAAAAGAAACTTACCTTATATCAACCACTCAGAATATCTTAAGGTCTCTCTTTAAAAGACTCATTTATTTTTGCTTGAAAAGGCAAATTTACAGAGAGAAGGAGAGACTAAGAGAAATATCTTCTATCTACTGGTTCACTCCCCCAAAACCCACAACGGCCAGGGCTGAGCTGATCGAAATCCACGAGTTTCTTCTGGGTCTCCCATGCAGGTGCAGGGGCTCTAAGGACTTGAGCCATCCTCTGTTGCTTTCCCAGGCATTAAGGATAAATTTGCATGAATGAATATATATGGGCATACCCCAATTTGGTATGCACTCCTCTTGGATGGAAATGTCAGTGGTTTGGACTATAAGATCTTTAGGAGTAACACTACCGTGGGCACTCTTGTTCATGTGTTTTTAATCGATGTATGTGTGCATTTATATTGGAAGCATATCAAAGTGTGGATTTGCTTAGTCACATGGAGCACATGTGCTTTGATTTCCAAGATGCTATCCAGCACTGCGCCAAATTGATTATATTGATTGATTTTGCTATTAACAGTAAGTGAAAGATCCAGAATATTCACTGTGTTAGTTCTTGATATTTCTACTTTTTAAAATTTCAGCCATCCTCAAGAATCTATTGTGCTACTTCTTCATGAATTTAACCCTTTTCACATTCTAACCGAGTTAAGCAATCTTTGTATTTTTATTATCTGACTGTCCTCTTTTCTGAAATAATTTGTGCTTAACCACTTTTTATTGCATCTTCTTTTTTTCCTTAGAGATATATAGGAATTATTTATATATTCCAGGTATTAATCTTTCATAGGTTTTATGTATTACAAGTGATTTTTTTCTACTCTGTGGCTTGACATTTCAACCTCTTGTTGGTAGCCTTTTAAAAAATTAAACATTCAATTTTGAGGTAATTCATGTGAAGCTATTGAGAAATAGCACAGAGCAAAACATTCAATGGCAAAATAGTGATTCAGCCAAGACCCAGAGTGTCTGTGTTACCCAAGGACTCTACTACCCTCCAACCCCACACCACCTTAGTCCTTATCAACCAATCACCCATTCTCCATTTCTGTAATTTTACTATTCCAATTTTGCTACCTAAACAGAATTGCACAGTGATCTGTTTTCTGGGATTGGCTTTTTCATTTAGCATGATCCTCCTGGAGGATTGCCCAGGCTATAGATTATGTCAACATTTTGTTCCTTTTTGTTGCTGTGAGTTCCATGTTAGGGTAGAGCCCAGATGTTAGACCTCCACCTTTGAAAGACTATTCATATGTAGCTTCCTTTCTGGGGCATCATTAATGAAGCTGCTATAAACGTTATGCACAGGGTTTTATGTGAATGCTCTTCTTTAGGATCCACATCCAGTAGAGTCATTGTTGGCTTTTGTGATAGCTGGATGTTTTGCTTCCTTTATGTACATTTACAGTCACCTCAGGCCAGGTTATAGTTTTTGTTTCTGTTGTCAAGTATAATTTAGAAATTTCTGAGGAAACAGGAATATTCATTGTTTTTACTCACATCTTTTCTTATAAAGTTCTTTCTTCCTAATATCCTAGTATCCTCCTAGAATACTTCTATTATCATTTCCTTTCTGTATAGCGACTTTCATTGAGCCATCTTTTTAGAGTCACTGCACTGATGATGGATGCTCTTCCTTTCCTCTCATCTGAGAATTCCGATATCCCCCTCTGCTCCTGCAGGGCATGTTTCACTAGTTACAAGTTCTGAGGTTGACAACGCTTGTTCTGAAGAAGAGTTGTGACACGTCCCTTTGGCTGCTGTGATCTGTGATGAGGCACCTGCCGTCCTGGGATGCTGCACTCCCATAGGCGTTGTGCTCTTCTCTTGCTGATTTCATTATCCCCTTACTGCCTACCCCTCTTTTAGTTTCCAGAAGTTTGTCTGTGATTTGTCTTGATGTGGGTTGGTTCTATTTCATTTTGACTCAGATTTTGAACTTGAAATATCTTTTTTTTTTTTGACAAATTTGTCAAGATTTTAGCCACTACTTCCAACTACTTTTGCACCCCTACCCTCTGTTGCCCATCCATTGGATACTACAGGGTAGCAATGTTACTTGGTTTTCCTTAATTTCATGGTTCCTTGAGGTTCTATTCACTTTTCTTCCACACTGGTTTCATCTGTTGTACCTCCTGGGTGCTTTCTATTTCCCAACTTTGAGTTCACTACTTCTCATCTTCCATTTATCCCATTGTTAGGCTCATCCACTGGACTCTTTTATATTAGTGTATCTCTCAGGTTTAAAATTTTCATCTTATTCCTTTTTGCACAATCATGTTTCATAATGCACTGCACATCCTCCCCTCTTGGATTCTTCTTCCTTTCATTGTAATTTCTTTTTTATCTAAAAGGCAGAGAGACAGAAACAAACAGATTGGGGCTGACACTATGCAGGCTAAAGCATGTCAGGCTAATCTCTGCCTCTGGTGCTTGCATATCATATGGGTGCCATTTTGAGTCTGGACTGCTTCACTTTTCTAAAAATAATTTTTGTTGTTTTTTGATACGATTTAGTTGGTGGTGGGCTCTCCCTCCCGCCTCCCCAAACTTGCTCATCTACCCTCTGTTCGCCCCTCTAGAATCATAATGTGTGTCCATCGTGAATTTTCTTAGGTCCATCATGCTTCCACTATAGAATCTCCCAGCCATGTAGAAGAATAACTTTTCATTGTATGTTAGTTCTTGTATCCTGGGGTCCTAATCCAGCTCCCTGCCTGTGGCCTGGGAAATCAGCAAAGGATGACCCAAGTCCCTGGGCCTCTATATCCACATGGGAGACCTTGAGGAAGCTCCTGACTTCCAGCTTCAGTCCAGCTCAGGCCATTGTAGCCATTTGGAGAGGGAAATAGCAGACAGAAGATCTCTCTCTCTTTCTATGTGTATGTGGTGGTGGTAGTGGTGGTAGTGCTGTGTATGTGTGTCTCCATGTCTCTCTGCAACTCTGAATTTCAAGTAAAATGAATAAAGACTTTTAAAAAGTACCAAACAGATTGATAATCAGAAATCTCCCATCCTCTGGTTCATTCCCTAAGTGCCTGTAACATCTAGAACTGGGACTGAGTA